TTTTATTGTTTAGTATAGATTTCTCACAGGTGAAATATTTTCCCGCTGTAAAAAGTATCCTATATGTTCACAGATAAATAACTATCGTCATACCATATCAAAATCTATCCAGTGATTTTCTCGTGATGCATTCCCAGACAAATAGCCAAATAGACAGACAAATAGACAAAAATAACTATTTCATTAAGATTTTCCAAAAGATATTCAATATACAGATTTGACTTAGAATTTTTTATATGTATGGAATAGCGATTTGTCCTTGCTTCGCTCGCATCCCTAGAAGCATTTCGTATACATATCAATACTTCAATACTAATATTATAAATGTGAAAATGTGTTTATTTGTTTGTCTTTCTTTTACGTCGAAACGGCTTGGCGGACTGGCGTGTTTTTGTGTAGAGATATTTGGAGGACTGGAAAGTGACATAGGCTACTTTTTACCGCAAGAGATTAACTCTTCCCCACGGGAAAACACGCTATAATGCAATCCAAAAAAATATTTATTATCAGAATTACTTGAAACTTGGTATTAATGCTCTTCAATACAATTAATAAAATACGTGTTTTAGTATCTTTCGAAATTCATCCCATAAAGGGGTAAAATAGGGGATGAAAGTTTGTATGAAACCTACCTTTTTAGTTTTTTTGTACTTTTAGCGCGAGCGAAGCCGCGGGTTCTGCTAGTATAATATAATATCATGCAAAAAAACAGATAGCAGAATCTTTTGGATTTTCTTATTACTAACATGAGCTGTGTGCTACCTTTTTTTTTTAATTTAACGAGGGGGAAATCTTCTAAAGATATCCAACCAACGTACGAGATGGTTAGGATATGCAGGATTTTTACCTACTAAAACCCCCTCGGTTACCATCTACTGCGTATAACGGAAAGCACCGGGATCTCTTTAAGAACGCACCGGTACTCTCCTTGCGCTATGCTACATTAAGCACATCTCTAGACAAAACAGTCCCCTAAAAGCTATGTACTACCTAAGAAGTATATAAATTATATCAAAATCTACCCAGCCGTTTCAGTGTGAAAAGTAACAAACATACACGCATATTAACAATCACATTTCTAATAGTAATATATGTATATATACTAATATATAAATTATAGTACACATGTCTATCTAGGTATTTTATACTTTCCTTGAAATTTATGAACCTTTATTAAATTTACTTAGGCGCTGTATTTTGTAACACCCTTCCTTTCAATTTATTCACGTAGACTTTTCTTTTTAGAATTCTTAACGGTGGAGTTCTAATAATCTAATTTATTGTAATGCCAGGATATTGCTTACAAAATTTAAAAAAAGAATTAAATTTTGAAAAAAAAAACTTTTAGATTTTATACCAATTTTTAAATATACAAATGTAATAAATGAAATGAAGTTCATACGACGATCTAGGACCAATTTGTATATAATATGTAATTCGATAATCGGGCTAATAAGATATCTGAATTTATCTAAGAATTATAAATCCAATAAAATTATTTTATATAAGAAATTTTAATGCATAAATATATATTTTATGACTTTATAAAAAAATTAAGATGCAAACTATTCTGTAATTTTGCTCTTGCTATCGATTTATTTTTCGATAATTCTAAAAGCAGTTTTAGCAATACTTTTTAGATGATCGGTACTAAGCTGACAACGTCAGATTTTGTGCCGAAAAATCAAAACAAACAGTCTTAGAGCGAGATTTGAACCCAGGACTTCGCAAATATTAAGCACAATTGCACCATAAACGAAATTATAATTAATAACACTTTCCTTAGAAAGTTAACGAAATATCTTATGTAAATCTAGTACCCAAAACTGTACGACGCGGTCATCAATAATGAACATAATATCCTACTGTCCTAAGTAAGGTAAGACCTTCAGAAGCCCTTGGACTATATATGGAAATGGGATTGGATTAATACACAAATAGATTGACATACAAGTACATGAAGTTAAATCAGAGGACATCCTTTAAAATTACGTCGAAGTTCTGTTTCTTCACGATATATGGTGAATTACTCTTTATGAATTACTCTTTATTGTACACCTAAGAAGAGAAAAAGAAAATATACAATATAATATAGAAGAAGGTACAAGAGGCGGCCTTATAGCTAAAAGAGCTATTTCTTCCAGGCAACCTTTAGGTGTAGGAAATAGTACTAAGATAGAAGGGGCGCGAATAACAAATAAAGAGACAATAGAAAGATTATATATTTATATACATATATATACGTATCATACATATATATATATATACGTATCATACAAATATATAATATAATATACAAAATAAATACAAGTAAAATATAATTAACCAATACCTAAATACTATAACTACATATATAAGTACTATACCATTATTATACATATATAAATATAAAATATAAAAACACACACACACACTCATTTGAACTCATTTTGAATGGTAGTACACTCATTTGAACTAAATGGAAAAACTATAATTATAATTATTTTAATTTTATATATTTTAAATTTGAATATGTATTGAAAAATATATTATGAGTATAAAGACCTGTATACCTTGTTATTTTTTATTAAGTGATATTTGACACAGAAGAGGTATTGTCACAACAATATTTCTTCTTGGTACTTTATATATTATCTTGTGCCCGCGGCTCCGCTCGCATTGTTTATTTATATATTATTATTATTATGTATAAAGGTCTGCTCGTAAAGATTTATCGTGATGTTAGATAGAATGTAACATTCCTGAATAAATAGGTCATCAAATGAAAATAAATTATCATATGTAACTGACAGTTGACAAAAATTAGTTCTTACAAACAAATAAAAAAAAATAAAAAAATCGTCAGATGTGGAGTTTAAGAACTAAAAAAATATATCTTTAATATATATTCTTCTGTACGTGTATTAGTCACCTAATTGCTCTAAAACGTCTGGACCGATTTGGATGAAATTTAGTGTGTATATTTCAATTGGTTCCTGGGTGGTTTGAAAATACAATTAGACCCGGTAAATGTTGCAGTCGGTGTGTCACTGATCTTCTAAACGGCAGGGACAAATTTATATTATATTTTTTGAGTATGTTTGAGTGGGTCCCTGTAAGGTTTGAAATCACAAATGGACCCGGTAGATGGTGCAGTAATGCGTGTGTCACCAGATTTTCATGGAAAACTCCATTTTCCGTGCAATAAATACATTTAAATTATTGATTAAATAAAAAGTAAGGTTTACACGTCGATATCATTACGCCAATGTTGTGTTGCTAAGGTTAAAGCTATATAAAAATCGTATGTGTTCTTTATGGACTCCAAAAAGGGTTGGAGCGATTTTTTAAATATACGTATGCTACTATGTATATTCGACATATACCAGACCACTTACATATATATATGGCCTATATAAATTGACCTTATCAGGTCTCGAAAATTAAATTATGGGGAAATGCATAGGAACATACCAGCCGTTATACCAGGTATTAATCAAAATGACGATTTTTACTTATTTTCTCATTTATCACCTAGTAAAATTATAAATACAAAAGGCAGCAAGCCCAAGTGAAGCGAGAGTAAGCGGTTATTATTACAATACATTTCATTAGCTATAATAAACGATGAGAAATTTTAACATTATTAAACGTAAATGCAGTAAAATATCTGCATTTGTATATTTAAATGGTGAAACAGGGTTGCGGTCTTCATGATTGGCACACGTTTGCTGCAGGAAAATCTACGTAAAATACTTATACATTTTGTATCGCATATTAATATGCAAACAATAATGTAGAAAACTATTGATCTGTGGATAGATACTGAGTGTAATAGTATATGTTAACTTTTGAGATGTCAGCAACCTTAGTCTCTCGTGACCATGATTACTGTAAATCATTTTAGCGTCTTCCATAGAATGATTCCTATCAAAATAAAAAATAAGGTCAAAAGAAATTCCCGTAAGAATCCAAAAAATATAGTTTTATATAAAATAGAAATGTCATTGAAAAAGAATCGAAAACTCTCGCGACTCTTTTATCTTGCTCCTTTATGAACATTTTTTTTATTAAAGCCGTCGCATGCCTGGCAGATGTGCAACATCGAAACTATGCATAACAGGTTTTTAAAAGCAGTAAATATGACGTAATTAAAAACAAAATAATCAAATTTTTTTTAAGGAAAAATATCTCTATTTAAAAATTACTAAGCGTGTATACGTAACAGCTATGCTCGGGGTTTCCCTGCAAAATCGAAATACGAATAAGAAGATACGCAGAAGGATCAAGGTCACCAACGTAGCCCACAGAATATCCAAGCTCAAGTAGCAGTGGGCGGGACACATCACTCGCAAAACGGACGGTCGTTGGGGACACAAAGTTCTCGAGTGGCGGTCACGTACTGGAAGGCAAAGCGTGGGCAGGCCTCCCACAAGGTGGACCGACGACTTGGTCAAAGTCGCTGGAGCCCACTGGATGCGGATGGCACAAGACCGGTTGTCGTGGAAATCTTTGGGGGAGACCTATATCCAACAGTGGACGTGCTTGAGCTGAGAAGAAGAAGAAGCGTGTATACAAGCCATAAACGTATCAAGTATACTATATATAATGCAACAAAATGTATAGTATACGCGCGCGCGCACACAAGGGAGTCGACAGCGGTGGCGAAGAAGTAGTAGAGCGTCATGCCATATGTCGTCACGGCATGCGACTTGATTTTACTATCAAGGCGCGCCAATAGATGTTTCACATCAAAAAGCTATTACACAAATCTAATATACTCATACAATCTCTAATAAATATTCACGAGTGTTGAAAGTAATCTATGTATAATGTAAGGTATAATCATAAACGTATATATTCTTGTATAAAAGGATGTTACCGTCCCAATCTTCTTTAATCTTCATTTACAAAGTAATTTTGTCACGTAGTCTTGATATATGACCTGCGCTAGCTACGTGTTTTTAAGCTACAACACATCAAAAGTATAAGTTTATTATTTTGGTAAAAAACACATCTTGATGACAAAAGTTACTGTGAATTGGGTTAGATTGGTCATAGAGTTTTGTGAAGAAGAACGCAGATTCTTTTTAATGAGGTATTTTTGTAAATGTTCAAATGTATTGCAATGGAAACTATGTTAAGAATAAAAAGGAAAGAAACTTATTTAAACTATGATATATACCTATCTTTATGGTCTATATATATGTAAATAGGCAAAGATAAAGCAGTTCCGTACCTTATTCTCCTGTGTTTGTCAAACAATTTTCGTTTATTTTTAGTATAGTAGCTGACGAGCTGCAGGTCGCACTATCAATAAAAAAATATGGTGATGTAATAAACTTAAAGAATTTTGCTATAACACATTTCATAGTCAATTGGCTTCTACCTTTTGCTAATCAATTTTGAATTACAAACTTTTATTTTATTTATACAACACGGCTAAAAAAGCATTTGGATGAATACAACAATCTTAAACTATGTTAGTTAATTCAACATAATATGTTTCAAAGTTAATTTTATATACTCTTCAAGTTAAAGTATTATTTTCACGCGTACGTGAAATTGGCTTTTGAATAAAGATAAAACACCGCCACGCCCTTTGAAAGCAAAGTTTAGCATTGTTTTATTTTAAACATTAAGTATAGAAATAGTTACGAAAGAAACTTGACGTATATAAAAGAATGTTTAAATAATTTGTGTTTTCATGAAAAATCTATAAATTGGATGCAATTAATTACTTGTTGTTTGTTACAGCTTAGTCGGCGCTAACCGCCGGCCTGGTATGAGGCGTCTACGTCGACCGTCCTACTGCTCACCCCCTCAAGAGCCCTTAAGTACAACCCACCTTATCCTTCCCTTACATCTGATCCTTCTAGTTTTACCCATTATTCATACACAAATGACCAACCACAATTTACCCAAAACATTTCATCCTAAAGAATTAAGAAATAATGTCACAGATAGAATAATAAATGTACCAGAAGATACAAATAGTCAAAACAAAACTATAGGAATTGATGTAAACGGTACAGTTAATAGATACCAAGCACTCCTAAATAGATTTAGAAGAAAAAGAACTAATACCGATTTAAGCGTAATTGATATAAAGCCTAATAATATGTCATTAAATAATAATAAAACAGTAGAATATTTAAAAACATCTAAACTAGCAAAAGATTTGAAATATAACTTTATAGTTAGAAATAACAGTTCTAGTGTAAGATCGATACGACAAAATGCAAAAACAGATCAAAAGAAAAAAGAAACGATGGGTAAAATCAAGCTTGACGATTCGACACAAACACGATTATTTCATGATTATTCAGTAACAATCAATAGAAGTGCTTGGAGAAAAGAATTAGCAAACGATACTGAAAACAGTGATATTGGCGATATTTTTTTTAGAAAAAATAAGCAAATTGGACGTGATGTTATCTTTACAGCTTCAAATGATTCATTAGTTCCTGAAAACCTCACCCATCCTTCAGTTAAAAATGTTTTAAAGTCAACAAAACCAACGTTCACTAACGGTAAGTCTTTATAATTTTCAACCTTATTATCCAAACATAGCCATAGGATATTTTCAAATATCACTTTATAAATCTTTCAAAACGGATAAATAAATATTAGTATATTAAGGGTAGAAATGGAAATATTTTATTTACCTAAGAAATTTGTCTAAGAATATGATTAAATTTCTAAGAAATCTATTGTTTACTGTAACGCCTGCGTGTCCGCGGTCGTTGAGGGATTAATATTCTTTTTATATCGGCACAGTAGTTCTCTAATTATGGGCAAACAAATGAACGGACAAACTTTGTACATACACATTTTTTATTACAATACTTTTTGTGAAATCACGTATTATTAATTTTTCTCACAATTAATATCAGTTTTTAGAACAATGTTCTTTATTCTATATTTGTTTATAAACCAAAAGATATTCGATGTAAATAATAATAGAAGCCAAATAAACAGTTAAAAGTTTTTTTTTTACTCTTTCAAATCACCATTTCCCTTTCATATTATGTTTTTATTACAGACCCTTTTAAAACAACTGACTCATCGAGTTTTTGAATACGTGTATTTGGCTATATAGAAAAACGGATAATGCCGTAGACACAATCTTGTATATAAAATTTTGCCTTTTTTAAATATACTGAATTTAAATTTCACCTTTTCGTATTTTAAAAAAAAACTTCTTTCACCTGGAATCGAACCCATATATTCGTACGTACCTTTGAACACTGTATCAAAATCACAATATTATAACGTATGACCTAGTTTAAATTTAAAATTATGTCTTGTATAGTGAAATATTCATCCTAATACCTCCTTACAAGAGCTTGGTACCTATATTTAAATTTTAAACCAGTAAGGGGTTTAAAATATTAATTAAATCTTCAGAACTGGTATAATCGACTTGCCGACTAATCTCGGTGTAAGTGCCTTTCCAGTCGTAACCTTTATTAAAAAACAAGAGGCTCGCCTTACTTTGCCTGCTTTTTAAGATATTTTATAGTAATAGTTTTTAAACATACTAAAACCAAATTTTAAATTAAGTAACATGATTTTACGTACAAAAATTTTTATCCTCCTTCCTGAAATAAAAAATATAGACATGAAAAAAATTGTCTTCAACAAATATTAAACTTTTATTATGATTTATGTATAATATTTTCACGCATTCATTTGGCGACAGCAAAAATAAGTTTGTTTCATAATACGTATTATTTCTAACAATGTTATGAAAAGCAATGTCCATATATTATAACTAGCGACTCACCCTCGCTCCGCTCGCGTTCGTCCGTAGGTACGTTTTAGCGTTTAGTATAGATTTCTCAGAGATGAGATATTTTCCTGCAGCATAAAATTCTCCTACATCCCTATATGTTGACCCGGATAACCAGCTATCATCATACCAAATTTCATCAAAATCTGTCTGTCTAGTGGTTTTCTGTTGATACGTCCCAGACTGACAGACAGACAAAAATTCTAAAAACTATAAATTCTAATGTACAGATTCGGATCGGTTAGAATTTTATTATATGTATAGGTAGATTGTTTTTATTCCTTAGAGAGGACATTTTTAACATCATTACCACTTGATAATAATAGGATGGGCGGAAATATATGTAGACTGGGTTATCTGAAAATAGGGTCTAAACTAGTTTTTGATAGACTTGTGAAGCCCGCTAACCCGCATGATGGAATATGAATCCAGCTCACACGTAGGCGAGGCCCCCTTTTCTTCAGTGGACGTTAAAAATGGGCTAAATTAAAACATAATATCTAGTGCGTTTCACGTAAAATGGCTGAGAGATAATGACAGACGGACTGGATGAAGTTATAAAAGTTTTCATTTTGCCTTTTGATTAATGTTCTTTCTCAGAGAAGTAGGTTCGATTTTGGTTCAGCACTGTAAATCAAGAATGTCGCATATAATACATATTTATACAACAATATGAATGAGCAAGAATATTTTTAAGGCTTATAAGTCTAAAGTGAATTAGTATTTAGAAATATATCACTGCATTTTTCAAGAATTATATTGTAAAATTCAATAAGTTAAATTTTGTATATTGAAAAAATCTTGCCACGAGGCGACAGCCCACACCTGTATTAGAAAAAAGCTTTTAAAACTCTTTACAAAATCTGAATCCTGTTAGGTGACGTCAAAACCAACTTTTACTTTAATTTTATATACAAGAAAGAACACGATAACAGTCACGACAAGACTGCTTTATAAGTCAGTATATGAAGTTGGTTCAATAGAAAAATCTCCAGACTAAAGAATAATAGACGGAGCCCGCTAAAAAATGTCAAAGTGAGAAATAGTAGCGTGATTTTGCTGTTTATTCATCTATTATATATCGATTTTAGATATTTTAGAATAAGAATAACTTCATATAGATATTAAATATTAAAATTAAATAAATATGTTGGGACATCAACACACAGCACCTTCGAGTTTCACGGTAAGCTACGAGGCTTGTATTATAAATGTAAACACTCGAGCTTATCGCACAAATGAATGCCTCTAGCGGGACTCAAACCCGCAACCGCTGGCACTGCAGATAGGGTCACTACAAACCGAACCAAACATGTTGTATACAAATCGCCTTTTGTATACTATTTTGTTTGGCTACATGATTAATTATATTATTCCTCAGTCTGAGAGAAAAATTTTCAGATAAAAAATGACTCAGTGAAGTAAGTTTCATCTATACTTAAAATATTCTAAAGAGTCAGAGTTTGTTTGTTTGAACGCGCTAATCTCAGTAACTTCTAATCTGATTTGAAAAAACCTTTTTGCATTAGATAGCCCGTTTATTGAGAAAGTTTATAGGCTATATATATAATATAATATATATTCTATCTATTCTTTACAAACCGTTAAACGTATCGTACGTATAATAAAAAAAAACACCAAACCGTAAACTGCTGCACCAACCGTAAAAAACTCTTTTGATCTTAACAAAGGGCTAACGATCGCGCCGTTTAATATTAATTAAAACATTTATTAGATAACACGGGAGTCAAGTGGTGGCTTTGAAGTCCATTGGACTAGTCAATATTGAAACGAAATCGAATTGAGCTTTAAGTGTTTAGGCTACAAGTAAATTGCCCTATTGACCCTTACTTGATTGCTAGGAAATGAAGTTTGGCTTTTGTTTGCACGAAAACTACTGAGTTCCACTGAAACATGGGTTTGCCATAAAAATGGATAGTGGATATAAAAGTGTATTTAATTTTTTTTATAAACAAAATGAAATAAATTTGGAGTTTGTAGACTAACTCGCTAGTTTGTCGTTACTCACCGTCGTTTCGCTCGGGTTCGTCCCTAGATACATTTTAACGGTTAGTATAGATTTCTCGGAGATGAGATATTTTCCCGCAGTAAAAAGTATCCTATATGTTGACCCGGATAGCTAGCTATCATCATACCAAATTTCATCAAAATCTTTCCAGTGGTTTCTCCGCAATGCGGTCACAGAAAGACAGATAAAAATTCTAAAAACTATAGATTCAGCCACTGTAGCGATAATAATAACTAATTCAATAAGATTTTCAAAAAAATATTTTGATATACAGTTTCGACTGAGAATTTTATTATATGTATAGAAAAATGTTTAATGATACTTTGTATGCAATATGTCCTACAAAAATGGATTAATAAATGGCGAATTTATGGTACACTATAAAGTCTTCCTACAAAATCTAACATCGAGTTATAATTATAAATATACATCTTATAATTATTATTATTACTTAGACTGCAAGAGGAGCTAGATTAATAGTGTTACGTTCTATGAGTTTGGGGACCGGAAATTAAAACACGTCTTTTGCACTACTGATGTTTCATTGCTCTTGGTTAACAAGGGTGACTTATGGAGATTCAGTAATACATGTATATACACACATACATATACACAGATCTAGTTAATTCAGTCACTAAACACTAATTTTCACATATAGATACACTTTCACTATGAATTTTCTTCACTCTTTCACTTCTTCGTACTTCTTCTCAGTCTTCACTTAGCTTCGAAATTCAACTGATCTCTCGAGACATTGCTGGCTTTTTTATATGCACTGAACAAAGAACATGCTAGTTTTCGAAAATTGGAAACCTTTATAGTAATTTCGAATCTTTTCTTCCTCTCTTACTCTTACACACGGCAATTTATGATTAACTGTCCTTGTCTGTCAATTGTCAAACTGAGTGAAACGGGTTCAAATTTCGGGTCACGCACCTCTGATATTCATGTGCATCATATTCCAACATGATTAACACTTGTCTTACGGTGAAGGAAATTTTGTAAGGAAACCTGCATGTCTGAGAGAAAATAGCAAGTTTTCGAAAGCGATCCATACATGGCCATCGAATTAGACTCTGGCCTGATCCTCCTCCTTTTGATAAGAGGCCAGTGTCCAGCAGTGGGACGTTAAAAGGCTGAACATATACAGATTTTGAACGGCAAATGTAAAAACCGATATTCAAATAAAGATAGTTATATTAAAGCTTGTAGCAACAATATTACAAAATAATATTCAGTTTCATTTTCCTAAATACAAGGGTTTTGATATATAGAATTATACAAAGATAGGATTATCACTACAAAGAATCCGTTGAATGGAGTAGCAAAGAGGATATTGAATATAAAACAATATGAGAAACTCATAATCGCGTATATTATAGTCTTACGAGCGACCAAAAAGGAAGAGCATTCAATTCTATAAATTATATTTTTGTGGGTATTTCTAGGATATTTTACCAATTGTGTGTCCATTTTGATAATTCTTTTGTTATTGAATAAGTTATTAAATACCCTAAAAGCTCTATATAAATAAAAAATAATGTCAAGGGTAAAATAATTATTTTAAGTTGTTATAATTTCGCCATGTCTGTCTATTTGTTTGTCTGTCGGTATATCCGTTTGTCCGTATATCCGGTGTGCGTATTTCACGGCCATTTTACTAGAAAACTATTGAGGCTACATTGCTGAAATTAAGTAAATAGGTGTGT